CATTTAGTTTAAGGGACCACTACATACATACAAGAATTTTTGGCAGGGTGCCCTGTAGGGCAGTGGTCTCCAGTCTTTTTGGCACCAGGGATCATTTTCATGGAAGACAATTTTCCATGGATGGGAAATCGGGAGATGGTTTCAGGATGATTCAAGCACATTACATTTATTGTGTACTTTATTTATATTATTACACTGTAACATATAATGAAATAATTATACAACTCACCATAGGTGGGGGACCTCTCCTGTAGGGTGACCAAATCATCCTACTTTGCCTGTGACTTCCAGTTTTAGCACTGAAAATTCCATGTCTCAGGAGACCCCTGTCCCAAGCCAACTGTACAGTTGGTCACTCTAGTGCCCTGTCATCACTAGGGTTTTTTTTTTTCAATAGCTTATAGTTCCATTATCTTCCCTTAGAAAAATACTAGTGCTATTTTTTTTTTTTTTTTCTGAGGCTCTGTTGCCCGGACTAGAGTGAGTGCCATGGCGTCAGCCTAGCTCACAGCAACCTCAAACTCCCGGGCTCAAGCAATCCTCCTGCCTCAGCCTCCCAAGTAGCTGGGACTACAGGCATGTGCCACTATGCCCAGCTAATATATATATATATATATTTTTTTTTTTAGTTGTCCAGCTAATTTTTTCTATTTTTTTAGTAGAGATGGGGTCTCACTCTTGCTCAGGCTGATCTCAAACTCCTGAGCTCAAATAATCCTCCGGCCTTGGCCTCCCAGAATGCTAGGATTACAGGCGTGAGCGACACCGGGTGGTGACACCCGGCCCCCTAGTGCTATTTTAATGTCTAGTTACTCCAAAAGCACCTATATTTTCTTCCTGTTAGTATTTAGTTCATAATCATTTGGTGAGCATATATATACTTATAGAGTTTTTCTTCATGAGTATAGATTTAATAAATGTATACTAATATTAATATTTTTGACCTTACTAGGACATGGGGACAATGGAAGTATTGAATTACCAACAAATCTATTGGTAAAAAATTTTGGTAAAAGATTACCCAAAAAGTAACTTGTCATTTTTTTTCAAGACTCTTGTTCTGTTGTTTACAGACTACTATCCTCCTAGTTAGTAATCACCATAGCTTTACGAACAAGTCATTTAAAAAAACAATGTATGTGGGTCATCCCTTGGCCAATTTGGGGCCCGAGAGAAGTTGTTCTACTGGTTTTCCTTAAATAGCACCATAACCTAACCTGAATCTATGATAGTTTCCAAAATATGCATGGAATGAATGTTGCTGAGAATCTGGTTATGAAGGTTTATCTATGACCAGGAGATCAAAAAATTTAGAAGCATTGTAATATTGTTCATGACATCGATCAAAAAATAAGCCATGAGGTGGGGTGCAGTGGGTCATGCCTGTAGTCCTAGCACTTTGGAAAGTCAAGGTTGGAGGACTGCTTGAGGCCAGGAGTTCAAGACCAGCCTGAGCAATATAGTGAGACCCAGTCTCCACAAAAAATACAAAAATTAGCTGGGTTTGGTCACCTGGGTCTGTAGGCCTAGTTATTTAACTCAAGAGGCTGAGGCAGGAGGATTGCTTGAGCCCAGGACTTTGAGGCTGTAGTAAGCTATGATGATGCCACTGCACTCCAGACTCCAGACTGGGTGACAGAGTGAGAATCTGTCTCAAAAAAAGTGATGAGCTCATGGAAAAGGTTTCTGAAAAAAGGAGACCAATTTTCTTTCCTAGAAAATGAAGATAACACAGGTTGTGTACATATATGCATAATTAAAATAAAACCTATTAAAGTTGTAAGTACAATGGACTAGTTTTTTTCCACAAGATGCAAGATGATTTATGACACTTTTTAAAAGTTTGTAACTATGTGCCAGGTACTGTGTTAAGTGCTTTAAAGACATTATTTCATTTGATACTCACAAATAATCCTATGTAAATAGGAATTATAATCCTCCAAAGTAAAACTCAAAGGGGTTCAGTAATTTGCTCAAGGTTAGAGATAGCAACTAGAGGGGCAGAGACAAATTCAGGTCTGCAGGTCTGTCTTCTTCAAGGCCTAAGCTCTTCACCTTCATCCTATGTTGTTTCTCAACATTGTTGACATTAACTCTGGTAAAATTCTACCTCCAGTTCTAACTTTTTCTGACCTTCAGTCTTGTACAATAGTTTATGGAATTGCCTACTCAACACCTCGACCTTGATATCTAACAAGCACCTCAAACTTAACATGTTTCAGTAAATGGTACCACCATTCACCCAATTGCACAAGTTCCAAATCTAGTAGGCATCATTGATTCCTCTATTAACTACACAGTAAAGTCATCAGCGTATCTGTTGGCTTTGCTTTCAATTTATATCTGAATCTGACCACTTACCATTGCAACTGCTACAAAGCTAGCTCAAGCCAAAATCATTATACACCTAGAAGATAGCCTCATAACTGGTCTGTTTTCATAGTTCATTCTTCGCAAAGCAGCCATAGTTCTCTTTTTAAAAACATACATCATATCATTTCACTCTTCTGCTTAAAACCCTTTAATGCTTCTTACCACGATAATGTAAACCTCCTAAGATGGCCTACAAGGCCCTACTGGCCCTCTGCATTGATCTTCCTTCTCTTACTTTATCCCTTAACACTCTCTCCTTTGCTCAGAATGTCTCAGTCACATTGGCCTGATGTTTTCAAATTTCTCTGTGACTTAAAGTCATATGCTTTGGGAGGGCAGGGTTGGGGGTTTGAGGAATCTGGCAGAGGTATGAAAGAGTTTCCTAGAGTGGGAAAACAATTCAGAAAAAATTAACAGGATTGCTGGGTAGTATTGAGAGTTCGGTTGTGCTTGGAGATTAAAATTTATTAATAGAATGCATATGGCCATGCATATTTCTCTAACAGTGGTCAGCTTGCTCCAGTACCAAAGGGGAGGATATGAATCATAGGCTTCATTCAAGATAGAGGTATTATGAATAGAAAGATGGGGAAAAGGAGTTTAGGGTACTGACAAGTATTACTGAATTTTTCCCATAAGTATATCACAAAGGGGATAGGGTAGAGAGAAGGGTTGTGTCCATAGCTTGCCCCAGTTGTGGCCACAACCTAGGATTTCAAAATAGAAACACTGAATCAAAGGACCCAAATCTACTGGCAATGATGTTAAAAGCTTTAATTTGTAAATCCTGAGATTATTTTAAGAAATATGATTACTGGTATTTAAAAACTTACAAAATGGACACATTGGTAGAGGATTATTTACATTATAATGGAATTTTTCACTTTTTGTTTTGTTATTTATTCATTTTTGAGACAGAGTCTCAATCTGTTGCCCAGCTAGAGTGCCGTGGTGTCAGCCTAGTTCACAGCAACCTCAAACTCCAGGGCTCAAGCGATCCTCCTGCCTCAGCCTCCCTAGTAGCTGGGACTACAGGCATGTGCCACCAGGCCTGGCTAATTTTTTCTATATAATTTTAGTTGGCCAATTAATTTCTATTTTTAGTAGAGATGGGGGGTCTCACTCTTGCTCAGGCTGGTTTCAAACTCTCACCTGCCTTGGCCTCCCAGAGTGCTAGGATTACAGGAGTAAGCCACTACACTCGGCCAATTTTTTACTTTTTAAAATTAATATCCAAAGGGAATCTGTAAGTTAAACAGTAAGATTCATCAATAAATGAGGGATTTCAATTTTAAGAGACCTTCAATCTGGCCAACCCTTTAAATTATTTTAAGCGGGAGCCTTCTTATGCCTCTCTTTCTTTCAGAACACTTCTCTGGCTCTACTGTTTACAAAGATTTAAGGCCACTCTAGGAAAGGCATAAAATATTCTTACTGATGAGACCCCTGACTAACTTGACCAGTATTTTGCCATTTACTCTCCTTGCACTTTAAGATTCCCAAACTATTAACTACTTTACACCTTCTGTGCTTCAGCTGTTCTCTCCAGCTAGACCATCTTCCTTACCTCCTCTGTAGAACTGCTAGCTCTTCATTGACCTCAGCTCACACAGTACACTTGCAGATAAGAGTTAAGCATTATCTCTTGCTACATTTGTTTCCTGTAGATATTTCTATTATTGCCTCTATTGCGTTGTAGCATAATGCATTTTATATGCTATGTAGTTTATAATACATATGCATTATAAAGCATTTTTATGATTGATGTTTTAGGGTTCCCAGTAGCTGAAACAGGGCCAAGGGTTCCCCTTGGTCTTGGCCAGGTCCCTTTCCCTTTCCAAGCTTCAGGTTCCTCAGGTATAAAATGGGTACTCTGGCTTAGTGAAGATGAGAGATAATATATGTATAGCTCCTAAACAGTGCTCAATTAATGAAAACAATACTGCTTACATTGTTTAAAGCCCTCAAGAGGCGCTTGTCGAGCAGAGTTCAGGAAATGCCTTTTTAAGATGACGTCACTATAGGAGACTTAAACAGCACTGCACGTCTGTACAAGAGGACAGAATCAGACGAACTACTTAAAGTGAGGTTCACCTGTCACATAGTTTGGAGGTTCTGCCACAACAAATTTCCATCCAGTAGCCTGGGCAACAGGAATTTTGGCTCCACACCTAAAGGCTTCCCGGAATCACCCTAGGCGGGCGGGAAGTGCCTTTGAGCCGGGTGGGAAGGCCGCCTTCCCCGCGGGATTGCGTGAGGAGCCTGGATCTCTATGGCCCACGGTGAAAACCACCACCGGGGCGGCCCAGGGGCCCCTCTCTCGGGGTCTATCCCGGCTGTGCCCGGCACACAGCGGCAAGAGACGCGAGCAAGAGGGCAATTCCCGCGCCACTGCGTTCCTAGCCCGGGCAGGCCAGGTCGTGGGGTCTCCCCGCACTCCACGCAGGGGCAGCGGGGCGGGGCGGGGCGCAGTGACGCAAAGAGGAGTGACGCGACGACGCAGCGCGACGCGGTGACGCACGCCCCTTTGTTGGCTCAGTAGCGATAGCAGCGGCCGTGGAGGTGGCGCTGGGGACTGTTTCTTCTCGGAGGCCGGAGCGGAGCCGCGTCTGACTGAGGCGGGCAGCAAGCGGCCCCCTCGCTCCCTCCCTCCCTCCTCCGTGCCCTCCCCGCCGCCACCAGTCGCCAACCGCCGCGCCCGGGGAGGAGCCGCGGCCCGCGGGGCCCGAGCCAGGCCTGCGTCCGGACATCAGCCGGAGCCGGAGCGAGAGCCGGGGCCTCGGCGTCCCCGCCCTCTCCCCGCCTCGGCCAGCGTCCGGCCGGGCCCCCGCGCGTCACGCCATGGACTCGGACGAGGGCTACAACTACGAGTTCGACGAGGACGAGGAGTGCAGTGAAGAGGACAGTGGCGCCGAGGAGGAGGAGGACGAGGACGACGACGAGCCGGACGATGATAACCTGGATCTGGGCGAGGTGGAGCTGGTGGAGCCCGGGCTGGGCGTCGGCGGGGAGCGGGACGGACTGCTATGCGGGGAGACGGGCGGTGGCGGCGGCAGCGCTCTGGGGCCCGGCGGCGGCGGCGGCGGTGGCGGCGGCGGCGGGCCGGGGCACGAGCAGGAGGAGGATTACCGCTACGAGGTGCTCACGGCCGAGCAGATTCTGCAGCACATGGTGGAATGTATCCGGGAGGTCAACGAGGTCATCCAGGTGAGGGTGGCCGCCGCGCCAGCTACACTGGGCCCGACATGGGAGCGGATTCGGGCGGCCCGCGCGGCCCCGAGGGGCAGGCCTGGGCCTGGTGCGCAGCCCAGCCCGGTTCCTCCCGGCCCTGTCTTCTCTCTGCCTCTGCTGGAGATCGAGGGTGTCGAAAGCAGACGTTTGCCGGTTTGCCGGGTGTGGGGAGGTGCGCTGGGGGCGGTGCTTCCCAGGTCCTGCTATGGCGGAGGCCTCCGGCAGCCCAAGCCTTCTCTTGCAGGCAATTCCTGTGAGTCCCTAGGCCGGGTGTCCTTCCTCTGGCCGGAGGAGCTCTTGCACGGGCGGGGCGCAAAGAGGTAGGGTGGATGGGGAAGAGGCGTCAGGAAGACTTGGGCCCCTACGAGAGTTACCCTGGCCCCCAGTCTCACTTGAGCACTTTTGGAAGGAATTAGGGTAGGCCTAAGAGCAGCTTGGTGTACGGTTGCCCCAAGCGGGCACCAGTTAATAAAGAAATGGATCTCCTTGGCAGTCTTAAGTGCCTACTTAAAGGTGGGGGAAGGGAACTAGTTCTCGGAAGAGGTGCTGATGGGTCTTCTTTTCCAATGGTGAGGATTTTGCTTGCGTCTTTTTACGTATTTGCTGTTTGGGACCTAACTGCTACTTTTTCCCATCGTAGCATATGATTTGCTTGAAGCTGTTGGAATAGTTACTACAGACTGTATACCCGTCCTTGCAGCTAAAACAACAACAAAATGCAGTGTTGTCTAAAATTGGACAAGACTCTATTGTGAGTTAGAAAGCAGAGGCTTTCTGCTTCTGAACTCCTTTCTCTGATAATTTCTATTTAGTGGCCAGTAAGTTAGGCTTGGTTTAAGTTGATAACTGTATCTCATTTAACCTGAGTCAGATCGTGTATTTTTGAACTTTAGGAAATCAAAAGTTTCCATTTATTTGGGGGAAAAAACAGTTGTCCTGAAGGGCCAGAGATATAGTTAAGAATAAAAAGGAAGTCTTGATTCAGTGCAACTTTTAGAAAACACTAGTTACATGGAAGGAAACATAGGAGCAGCGAGTTACTATTGCCTTCTTGCATGTCAGTCTTTTTTTTCCCCTTTAACTTGGTTGGCTAAATATTCACTGACAAAATCAGAAGTCTGTCACTGCCTACTCGTTGACTCTTCATTATTAACAGATTTTTATAGTAGCTTTTATTGTCTAAAAAGCAACAGTTTTGAAAATTGAACTATTTAGGCACTATTTGAAGACAGTGTTTTGCATAATAGAAAAATCTGATATCCAGTGCTAATACTAAACAGTGGAAGTCTCAAACTTTAATATAGAGAACACAGTCTAAGAAGGAAATTGAGGATTATAGAAGTAAGATAAGTTTTAAAGCTTTTTCTGATCCTAAAAATAGGACAGTTGAGTTCTTAGGCCACTAAATTGAGAAATTTTCTTTTTTTAAAGGGAACTTTATTAAAGAATTTGCAGTAAAACTTTCAATTTTTTAAAATCTCCAACTACATAAAATCTGATGTCCTTAAACTCTACCTCCCTGGAATTTTAATTAGCTTTTTAAAAAATTATGAATATTTGTTATTTAACTTTTTGACTATTTTCTTATAGTTAAATCTCATCCAGTTTTCTCAGCTCTTAGGTATGTCTTAATCACTGAGGCCAAAAACAAGTTCTTTATGTCACTTCTGTAATAGAAATGTAGCTATGCATATGACATCATTCTTTATCAGTTTAGGTGAGAAAGATTAAATGCTGATGAAATGAACTAATAAGACCAACAAAAAACTAGGGATTTTTTTTTAGGTGTCCTACTTTTACCTTGTTTCCATGATTTTTGAAAAAAACTTTTTTCAAGTCTACTTCATTATAAGGATGTTCCTAATAGAATTCCTGAACGTGTAAGTATCTACACTTTATTAAAAATTCATATTTAGAAATAGCAGTAAAATCAAAAGGTAGGATGTATCCCAGACCATCTTTTCTCAAAATGGTATACTTGTTAGGTCTAAACTAGGCTTTGGTTATGTTACAGGTTATTTATGTTAATAGAATTAGACTTAAAAAGTTACACAGCTAATACATTCATTCACATTGTAAGAAAAATCTGATTAGGCAATGAAAAAAAAAAACAACAAAACTCTTTCACCCAGAGAGAGAGAGAGAGAGACACCAAAATATGAACTGTAGTTATTTTTCTAGACCTCTGGATAGCCAAACAATGGAAACATACTGTATGTTCTATTTATGTTTTCAGTGGGACAAAAGCAGGCTACAAAAACAGAAGGATTTTCTGAACAACTCTGTCCTGTCAGTAACTATTTTTCAAGAGCTTATGTGATTACTGATCTAAACTGATTTATTTAATCAATCTGTTATTGGCCTTTTTATTTTCTTGTTTCTGACTTTTATATACATTATTGAAGATATCCTCATAGGTCAATCTTTTGAGTGTTTTCTTTCTTGGGATAAGTTGAATTGTTGAGTCAAAGAATTTGTTCATTTTAAGGCGCTTAATACGTATTACCACCTTGCTTTCAGAAAGGTCATACAAGTTTTCCCCACCATTTGATATTTGATTGACATAAGATGGTCAGTTAAAAATGTGCTCATTTTTTTAACTGGTGAGGTTGAATTTTATCATGTTTATTGGGGTTGGTATTTCTTTTGTAAATTGCCCTTTGCTTTTTGCCTGTGTTATCCCTTTTTGGGATGTTTATAAGACCTCTTTATATTAATAGAGGTTTTAAATGTCAGTCGTCTAGGTTCTTAATGTTGGTTTAATACAACAGGTTTTATCAAGTTAAAAAACATTAAGTTTTACTTAGTTTAGAGGAGAAAGCTTAGTGTTAATTCTAAACATCTTAAATTCCCTGCTCCCCAATGATGATTTTCAGTATGAAATCAGATACGTTATTAGCGAAATTGATAATATATTTACAGGAGAAAAAGTTTGAAATGTAAAAAGGTCACCAAGTTAATTTACTCTTTGGGAATTTGATTACTTTTCTGGGAGAGCATTTCTGGGCAACAACAGATAAATGCTGTTATTTGCGGATGTCTGCAGGTTAGTTCTCATTGTCAAATAAGTCAACACTACTTTTCTTTTAGAAAACTCTTGATTTTCTGGATTCCTGGTTAGTTTAATTTGGTCTCTAATTTAAATTCTTTGTGGCTACCTAGCTTACCTTTTGAGCTTTTTTTTTTTTGAGATGGGGTTTCTCTCTATTGCCTGGACGAGTGTGCAGTAGTGTCATTATAGGTTCACTGCTGCGACTTCAAACTCCTGGGCTTAAGCTATCCTCCTCTTGCCCAAGCCTCCCTAGTAGCTGGGATTGTAGGCACATACTGCCACGCCTGGCTTATTTTTCTGTTTTTTGTAGAGGTCTGGTCTTGCTATGGTCTCAAACTCCTGGCCTTGGTCTGTCCTCCTACCTTTGCCTCCCAGAATGCTGGGATTACAGGAGTGAGCCATGGCACCAAGGCCCCCTTTTGAGTTTTTAAGAAAAATCAGGGATTTTCTTTTGTTTTTTTAAAAATTTTTTTAATTATAATTTTTTTTTTTTTTTTTACTTTTTAAATTTTTCTTTTACTAGACCACAAACCAGAAAGGGATTTTCTTTAACTTAACTAGTATTGCTAATATTAAAAAGTGGCTTTCTAATGTAATTGCCTAAATAGGTAATGTATTAAACTAACTGCATAGTTCTGGGGGATGTTTAAACTTGCCATTTTGTATTTCTGCCATAGTGTTCAGCATATGTTCATTGTGCTTTCTATGTATGTAGAGGATATGGTTCTTGGTGAAGGAGCTTATAGAGGTAGGGAATATAGAGGCCCTTGGACTCTCACTGTGTGAAATTTTTACTCACTAATTCAGTCTGAAATGGAGCCTGAGGATCTGTGTGTTTTAGCCATTCCAGTAATAGTTCTGAGCCACTGGAATAGTGATAGTTTGTCCATAGCCACGATTTTGACTCAGGCAGAGCTAGTAGAGTGAGAAGAGCAGCAGCTTTTTGGAATACAGGTTGAGTATTCCTAACCCCAAATGCTCCAAAATCCGGAATTTTTTGAGCCCTGACATGACATTTGGGTTTTCAGGTTAGGGATGCTGAACTGCTAAATTTAATGCAAATATTCCAAATCCACAACACTTCAGGGCCCAAGTATTTTAGATAAGGGATACTCAGTCTGTACCAAATTTAGAGTGTGTGCTGAAGAAGAGGAACTGTTGGATGTGATTGCTCAGAGAGGAGGTATAAAGAGAAATGATGGCTGTCTTATTTGCCTTAGATTTATTATGCTAAATAATTTATTTTAAAGAAAACAGAAATATGTAAGCCTTACTGAAGATATTGGCTGTTTATTTGAGATCTTTAATAGTATTTCACCTGTTTAATTAAACAACCTCTAACGTGATGTTACAAGCATAAATTAAGGGAGGCAGTGTATTCCAGCATATTGTGTCCTGGCTGGAGAATCAGTTCTAGCCCTGGTTTTCCTCTAAGTGGCAAGATAATTAACAACTCAGAACCTTTAGTGTTTTGCTTTTAATCTGGGAGTGAAAACAGGAGTTGAACTACTACTAGACTTGGTCTTTTTTTTTTTTTTTTTTCCATTATGCTTCATTTGTTTAACATCCTTTAAAAAACCTGTTAGTTGGATGCGTTCATTTTTTCCAAGGAATTGAATTCAGGTGTGCATATCAAGATTAACTTAAATTGATAAACTTAATTGGGAGAGGAGTAAGAAGGGAGGGTATGTGTGTGTCTTGAAGCTATTGAAGTGTTTGGTACAGTTTAGATTTACTTCTCTTGAACTTTTATCTTTTCCCAGGTGATCTCCTTGAGTGTAAGTTTTAAATTACATTAAGACCTGTTGAATTTCTTATGGCAATAGTCCTGTGAATCAAACTCTGGGGGTGGGGTCCAGCAGTCTGTTTTAACAAGCCTTCCAAGTGATGATGACACAAGCTAAAGTTTGCAAACTGCTGATGT